TAATGAGGCTCAGAATGTACCTGCTTAGATTGCAATGCCATTGATTACAATACCTCAAGTTATAACAACAACAACTAAAAGAACTTGTGGACCAGATAAGCAACCACGTAAGAAGAAAGCTATAAAATTAACTAATCCTCGTATTAATTCTCAAGAAATTTCCACTCATCTTGCAGGACTACCAATTCATGATGATATATCCATGCATAATGTACCTTCAATTCCTATGAAAAACAATCTTGGAATTGGAAGGAATAAGAACAAGTTGAGTAAAGAATTATCTATTCTGTATTGTGCTATAGATGATATTTGGGACAAACCATCTATTACGGTAGATGAATCATTTGCATATATGATTATAGAAGCCCTTTCTTGCAAGGAAGACGATCTTGAACCTCAAACCATCAAAGAGGCGATGTGTCGCTCAGATTGGTCAAAATGAAAAACTGCTATTGAGGAGGAGTATGCTTCTTTGCATAAGAGAAAAGTCTTTGGTCCCATTGTAGATATTCTTACATCTCGCCCTGTGGGATATAAAATGGTATTAATATGCAAGCAAGATGCTCAAGGCCAAATAATCTACTATAAAGCTCGTCTTATTGCTCAAAGATTTATTCAACGATTTGGCATTGATTATGAATCTACATATTCTCCAGTCACGGATTCAATTACGTTTTGATATATTATTGGAATGACAGTTCATGCCACCCTTGAGATGCATCTGATGGATGTAGTTATTGCATATCTATATGATTCTTTTTATGCAAATATTTATATGAAAGTTCCACTTGGCTTAAAAATAGGAATTCCAAATCAACCCGCTCCAGGAAAATATCGTGGTATTAAATTATGTAAGGCCTTGTATGATTTAAAACAATCCGGACGAATGTGGTATCAACATCTCCGAGATTATTTAATTACAAATAATTTTATAAGTGATCCACTAATCCCTTGTTTGTTTATCAAACGAGATAAAACTGGTTTTGTGATCATTGCTATATATATTGATGATCTTAACCTAATGGGCACTACATATGCATGTATTACAGCTACAAACCTACTTATATGTGAATTTGAGATGAAAATGCTAGAAAAAATAACTTTCTACATTGATCTTCAAATTATGCATCTTACAGATGGTAGCATTTTTCTCTACTAACTAACGTATATTAGACAAATTTTGAAAAGATTTAATATGATTGATGCTTATCCATTGTCCACACCAATGGTTGGATGTGGTCATGATGGTCATGATCCATACCGTCTATGCGAGGAGGAGGAGGAAATATTGGGAGACCAATATCCATACCTCGCAATGGTTGGAGCACTTTTGTATTTAGCTATATCTACAAGACCAGATATTGCATTTGTAATTAGTGTTCTTACAAGACATAATGCACATCCAACACTACGACATTAGAATGGCATCAAACATTTATTACGTTATTTAAAAGGTACTGAAGACTTGGGATTATATTACACAAAATCTGCAGATCCAAAATTGGTTGGATATTGTGATGCAAGATATAAATCTAATATTGCAACAGCGAAATCTCAAACAGGATATGTATTTTTAAGACATGGAGTTGCAATATCATAGAAATCAATGAAACAAACAATAACTGTAACTTCATCCAACCATACAGAAATTATTGCCTTACATGAAGCATCTCGAGAATGTATTTGGTTGCGATCAATTGATAAATTCATTCAAACAACCTGTGGATTTTTATATGATGATTCTCCAACTATCTTGCATGAAGATAATAGTGCTTGCATTACATAGATGCAAGTTGGTTTCATTAAAAGCGATAGGACAAAGCATATTGATCCAAAGTATTTTAGTTATACTCATGACTTGATTACTAATCAAGCACTTACAATTAAGAAAATTGAATCTACAAATAACCTTGTTGATCTCTTCACCAAAGCTCTCCCATTAAGCAACCATCATCGACTTACTTAGGGCATTGGTATGCAGCGACTTGCTTTTCTTGAATAAGAAAGTTAATGAGCTCTTTAAATAATTAAAAAAAATGATGTTGTATTCTTTTTCCTTCATCTATGGTTTTGTCCTTAAATAAAATAAGGTTTTCCTAGATAAGGTTTTAATGAGGCAACAATTCTTGATCTTGCAAGATCATAGAAAAGTATAGATCATAATTCTATACATATTTTATATTATGTAAATATTATGATGAGCGAGGAAGAGTGTTGAGATCATTAAATGTAGTCGGCACTCTCCATAATATTTATTGTAGCTACAATATTTAGAGTCTAGTAGAGAAGTACTATTTATCCTCTCCTCTTTTCTCTTCTTGTATATGAGACACAATCAAATCAATAGATTTGTGTATGTGAAACTCTTTCTCCTGAGAAACCCTCTTGTGTGTATGACTTACTACTACTCTTGTGTGTGTGTATGACTTACTATTACTCTTGTGTCTTTCTAAACATTCTCAACAGATTTCATGGCGCATTCTATTGAAGTGGATGGCTCTATTCACATTTGTGGGTCTTGAGACTAGGTTTGGTTTGAGGTCCTTAGTTTATCAACCTGGTTTCTTTGTTTTGACGGTTGAGTTTGAACTGGAGCAGTTACTGGAGTATGCCCCTGATCAAGGCTTTTGTGGTGAAGGTGTCGCGATTAGAACCTGACACCGTCTTCGATGCACAATGAAAAGCACCTTGGTGAGGAAGAGCTTCTGCAGCAGCCACTTTCGTGTCCATCAGTCTAATATTCACCACTTCAATAAGACACGTGGTGCCTCATCAGCTGGCAAGGTATATGTTGGCAGGCTACAGCTCAGGTGAATAGGCGTAGCTGTGGACATCGCAAGAGTAAACCATGTTCACTCGGTTCTGCAGCACCACCCCGGACAGCGCCTTTCCAACTCCTGTCTAGCTTCTCGTTTCTAATCCGACAGCTGGACATGAACATGCTTCCGCACCGTAGCAATGACCCTGATTTCGCAAGAAATTGAGGTAGGGGTCATCTTCTTGCAGAGGGATCCCTCCTGCGTCTAATCTCTCAATTGCTGCCCCAGGCACTCGTAGTATCGTACTGGAGTGGATGAGGGCAGAGCATTGCCTCAGTAGCGTGGTTGACTACGATTACTGCAGAATGGGGAAGCTGTGAACAAGTGAAAGTCTTTCTGACTTAGTTCATGTGCCTTCTTAATATTGATCCTGGTATTGTTGCAGGTGTCGTGTTTCCCCTACCGATCGCCATGTGCCTTCAAGTGCTCCCATGCAGGAATACTGTTAAATCTTGTTATTCCGAAGAGGGATGTGTAGAGGGTGCACTAAAGCTTATTTCCGGCCACATTATATCTGCTTCTCCTCTTTCTTCCCCATTATTTCAGTATTTTGGGACTCCCTGTTCCCACCTTCTCTTCTACTTGGACTGAGACTGCAGCCATTTTTGTTTCCTCTCGTGAAAATTAAACCACTGAAATTTCATTGTTGCGCACGACTTTCCCTTCTTTCCTCATACAACACGATATCCTTAATCTCCTTCATTTTAACTTAAACAGAATTCTTGATCTAAAGACCTTTCTTTACTTGGCTAGCATATACCCCACAGCTCTAAGAGCAGAGGATATACATTTGTTCTAGGTAGCCACGGCATCAGAATGAAAAACTAAACGTGAAATATTTATGACAATGCGTCAGACTTCTGAGAAAAAGAGTGCTTCTGATTTTTGGAGAATATGGTGCGAAGAATCGATACTGAAATATCTGGTCACAGAAGCTCGTTGCTTAAGTGGTCAAAATCTACCCCGTCATACAAATCATGAAGATAAATAGCGTATTTCTAATACAGCACATGGCTGGGGGTTAATGAACACCATCCATACCTGGCAGAATCAGTGATGTGTACCAAAGATCGCTCCCATGTGACCCAAACGGAAGGGCTGGAAGGGACTGGTTCTGTGATCTGTGGGATCACTCCATCTATTGGTGGAGGTCGCAGGCGGAATTCCACTGGCATTTGCAGTACCATTTCAACTGGGGCCATGGGAGAACTCCTCAGACTGATCGAGCACCTAGAATACGGCAGGTGACAACATGAGAGCACTAGCGCAAATCAACAACGCATCAACATGCAAGACTGCGATCCTAGCTTGATCCATTCAATTCCCAGCTCTTTCGGAAGATAAGCAATCGCCGGAACTTCTGATGGATAATACCTCTGAAGTACTCTCATTCGACCCACCTAGAAATTCTTCTGGGGAAGCATTGTTCTGATCGATACAGTTATCGATCAGAACCGTTTTAAAACTTTCACCATTTCAGACGTGATTCGCTTGGAAATCCTCCCCAACGGCTCCAGGCATTATTCTAACTCGTCCGAGTCAATGTCCAGTTGAAGTGTTGCGGTAATCCCATATTTACTAATCGTTTTTATGAGCAATATTGCACGTAGATCTGGATTAAGTAAACAAAGCCGAAAGATTCATCTGATAGTGCCTATCGACGAGGCAGAACGATATTGTATCACACACTACATTTGGAAACGATCTAGAATAATGTCTGAATCTAAATTTAAACAAAGTGGTGAAAAAATAAACCACTCTTTCAGAGGAAATAGGTTCTGATACAAATACGTCAGCTGAGGCTAGATGACATCTAGTGTGCCAATTAGGGAGACAACTCGCGAATCAGTACAAAATATTAATTTAAAGAACTGAAATAGCCTGTTGCTTATGCGGAATAAATATTTCACAGATATTTCTTCAGTCTCTAAAACTTCATGTTGTGATCCCATTTAAACGTGCGAATCTTCACACAAAAAAGTTGAGTGCTCAAGTATCTTCTATCTGGTATAAACCCACGTCTGTTATACCAAAACGAATTACCTTGGACCCAAAACTTGAAAACATCTCAGAACCACCGAGAGACTTTCGGACAAAGTGGAGCACGTATGTTTGCAACACAAGGAACCACTTGCAATAGGTACTCACAAGCTACGAGACCACTGAAGCAAGCCGCTCAAATTGTCGGACTCAAAAATGGACTGAAACCTTTACAAAAAAAAAGGGGGGGGGGGATAAAAGATGGCATGATCCTTCTGTTATGAACATCTCATGTCTAATACAGTAAAATCCTCACAGGCCCAAGTGAAATACACCGGCCGCTTCGAAGGAAATTACAGCCTACCCTTGCTAAACTCTCCGCTTGCTTGCGCACTATTAAAATGCCGGAGACTGCCCACATTCTTTTCCAGCGGTTTGGAAATACCCAAGAAGGCAGCTCCTTCACTATCCTTCGCCAAACCAAAGTGTGGAAAGCTCTTTTCAAATCATCTGTTCGAGTTAAGAACCCTAAGAACCATAGTACAATAGTTAGGCACCAGGCCTCTTTTCGTGATGTGGTTACCACTGCTGCTCCAATTAGAGGGTGGTGGTGCTTCAAATTCAAACCATGCTCATCATCATATGGACTTAACCCACTGCTTTTCCAATATAATACATCCTCGTGCTCACAAATAATGTAAATAGGTTAAACAACTACTTTAAGGGTTGAGGCTGGCACTTGGCAGAATATCACAAGTTTCAGTGGACGAGGTGGCCGCAAGAGTATTTCTCAAGGCCGAGTAGAAACGAATCCAGGTGAACTGCTGCACGTAGGAGAATACACCAATTTGATGATAATATGTCGGTGTCGGAGCACCCTGCGTCGCAGCGGCCCGCACAAGATCCATAACTGAGCGAGGGGCATACTTTGGAGGCGAGTTCATTATGACATTATCAACTTTATGTGCGTAGATCTTCCCATCCTTGTCCAACTTGTATTCAGAGGTCCCCTCAAACCGCCCTTGAGCCTCCCAAGGGATTCGTGGAACGCCCCGCACTATCCACCGAATCATTATAACCTTGTCAGAGGGTTGCCATACTCGAATCACTTCAACCCACAAAGCTTTGAAAAAGATTCGGCCATGGAAACGAAGTGCCCAGAATAGAGTTTTGTAATTCTCTATTCCCGAGAATGTGTTCATTGGATCACTGAATGTGATGTCCTCTCTGTACAAACATTGAGACAAAGTTTTTGGTGAGGAAAAAAACGTCTAACATAAATCCAGCGTGTACACAACTACAAAGACAGAACTAACACAGCTAAATCCAACAACAACAAAAACAAAAATAAGACCAACAGGTGGTCCAGTAGTTGATTTTAGAAAAGGCTCTACTTAGCATCTATAAGAAAACATGCGCGCAGTAAACATCAATTGACTACAGCCATGATTTAACTATTCCACGCGACCAGAGCATGCAGGTTAAGGATCAGCGAAGAAATGTACCTGTAGATGTCGTAGTTAAGGTCTGTGTAAAATAAGGCGGGAATCTCCTCTCTAAGATTCCGGATTGCAGATCCACAGTTCACATAGAAATTATCTTTTTCAGCGCTCTCCTGCTTCTGCCTGGAAGGAGGCGTTACGCTTTCCTCTAATTTAGTCTGGACTGACAACAACAACTCCAACCTTTTCTCAATCTCCCCCATCCGTGGGCGCACAGCAACATCGTGCCTTCTCAACGAAGACGAAGGACTGCCTCCCGTTTGTTTGACAGAAGATGGCAAAAGGCGAGTCGAATGACACTGGGCCAAGTTGAGTGCACCAACTGAAGCTTTCTGCTTCCACATCGCACAAATAGCAAACATACAAGGGCAAATTACATCCGCACATACTTTCAGAGCTTGTCTTCGCAGGGTAATAATGCTCAGGATCTGCCGTGTTAATGATAATGATGTCAACAACCAGCATCCAATGTGGTTTTGCCTGAACGTCCCTCAAGCTCAAAATGTCGTACAGAGACCGATAATAAATCCAAATTCAAAGAGTTATGTAACCCCTCATCCCACACAGATTATTCACTCTCTCTATGATGTGGTTCAAGAAAACGCAAAACGCAAACTCACTCACCTGATTCTCTCTCCATTTCCCAGGATCCAAATTTCCACCGGTGCACTTCATCGTATCTGCAACGGCCCTAATATCCGCCAAGTCACAATAAGTATATAAATTTGAAGCATCCATCCTCAGATCTGAACAATTAGTGCTCCGTTCAGTAGACTGACCTGGCATTGGACAATCGCACACGACAATTTTCGAACTCTGCAAGACAAACAGAATTCGAGCTGGAGATCGACGTGACCGCTATGGCAACGCCAACCGCTGCATGTGCCACCATGATGATCCTTTGTTAGAAACAATCACCTGCACATGCACCACCTACAAATTTATTCAGCTGAGAAACAGCACGCCGGTGACATACCATGGGCGATTCTGTACAATCGGTGAGATGCTAAAAAGAAGTTCGCGGCTCATGTAATGAAATGCATTAGCAGCCGCCACAGCCACTCGAAATTTCATCACAGATTTACATCAGGTGAATTCTGGAACTGATGAAGCGGAACACAAATGCTGCAAATTACAATGGCTCATGGCGTATTCCATTCCGGAGGTGTTCGTGGATGTCGCCCATCCAAGAGTAAGCCCGACTCATTGAAGACCTCACACATCGGAGACTACCTTCGTGGACCAAGAACGTGAAGCAGGATTAAAAGTTAAACCACGGAACACACACTTTCACTTGTAGCTACATCAACTAGGAACTTCCAAAGACCAAAACCATCCGGACTCAACGAAATTCAAACTTCACTGAGTCTTTCGAGGTAGACTTTCCATTGAATTTTCTCACACACTAAATCCCAATCGAGGAAAAGAAGAAAAAAAAAAAAAAAAAAAAAAAAAAAAAACTTCAACCGTAATGCTCCGACTCAATCGAAAATCCTTCACTACGCGCTTACACTGCCTCGAATTACAATCTCCATCCAGCAGCACAACAGGGGGAAAACAGAGGGAGAAAAATACCAACAATATTGTATAATTCACCGCACCCAAATCCAAAATACATCCGAATTACCTGAAACTGTTGTGTCCAAAAAAAACCACGGCCACAACCGCCGATTGCACACGCAGTGATTCCACACCTCTCGAACGAACGAAGACCCCACTTCGCGCTCCTCGTATCGTATCGTATCGTACTGTCTCGTTTCTCCTCCACCCCCTGTTCTTCTCTGCTAATTACGCAACCCTCAAAAATCTTGAATTCAATGACAACACCAACAGAGATCTCCGCAGGACTACTCTCAGCAGCCGGTGAAGGAAACCCAACGGGATTTGTGAGCGAATTCAGTCGCGCTGAGCTGCATCCCTGGGCGCAAACCCGTCGGTGTGGAATAACCCACGAAGGATACGTTTCAAATTGGAGGCGAGGAAGGGCAAGTGGGTATCGCTTTACGATTTGGTCCCTGAAATTTGAGGTGGGTGTCTGCATGGCCGGCGTTGAAGATTGGCAGGTGAACCAGAGCCAGGACAGCAATGCTGGCTGCTCATTCGGCCTTCGCATTGAGCCGCCACTGTGCGGCGTGCCGTTCCGGGTGGAATCAGGTACCTCCCCGGTTACCCGCTATTGCCGTTACCGCACGGGTTCCGATTCCAAACTGTCCCCTGACGCGACAGAGTGCCGATTCTAAATTGGAACAAGTGCCTGGTATAAGCGACTGTTCTGGGTGGAATCTGGTTCGCGAGGATTTGTAAATGTGTCGCTGCTTTTTGTCCCTTTGGTGGATTATGGTCCAGAACTTGCCACCTCACTTGACTCCCTTCGCGTGCCTCAGCATGTGCCAGACATATCCCTTGCAATATTAATTATAATTAATAAAAAAATATTATTTATATATTAGAAAACCATTTTTTTCATTAGTTTTTGATCCATGTGGATATGGTGGTGGAGAATTTTTTGATGATGGTTACAATAGGAGGGTCAATTTAGTAAATGTTTGGGTCAATTTAACAATTTCCTATAAATATACATATGTATATTTATATCTATGTTGTGTTTGTTATGTATAAAATTTCTATTTTTTAATCTTTTTAATCTTTTTAATCTTTTAGATTATTTTCTGCACTTTCAAGCCTTTTATATTATTAAAACTCGGGATTTGTTAAAATGACTGAAATAAAATGAAACAGGTACCTTTTCTATTTTCATTGCCAAGAACAATCATTCAGAAAGTGATCGTTGAATGTGTAAACTCTTGCTTCTGTTTCTATTTCATGTACAAGATTTCAAGTTCTTTTTAGTGTTGAAAATGAGCTTATTTACTCCTTGAAAACAACTGTTTATTATAATAATAAAAAAAAAAAAAAAAAAAAAAACACACGTTTTGTGCAAGTTTCATCAAGAGGGTTTTATTTTTTTATTTTCTTCATTGCAGATGTTGAAATCGTGAAATTTTATCTAAAATTCATTAAAAATTTACTTTTGCAATATTTTTTCGTAGAAAAATTGTAATTTTTTTTTGTATAGGAACCTTAGATTCAAATATACATGTAAAGATTCGTTTAGCTTAGATAAAAACATTTGATTAACATATTGTATCAAGATTATGAAGAATTTTTATGTTGTTTGTAAAGGATGAAATATTATTATTGTTCAGATATGAGATTCACAAAACAAGAGAGAAGAAAGCTTACAAATTGCATTATATGGTCATAATTGGTGGTTTTGCTTGTATTTAGAAAGAAAACTCTTCAATTAATCAAAATATCGTGACATGCTCCTTATGCATTTAAATTGTTATTGAAAATTCCATCAAAATAACATTGATTTTATTTACTCTTATTCTTGTACAAACATCAATATATTCTCTTCTAAGAAAATTATGTTGGTTTGTTCAAACTTTGTTTTCTTTAAATCTAGAATATTTGATTGTGAATATAATTTAGAATGGTTAATCTTAAGAATTTCAACCAAATCTCTTGCAAATATAATTGAACGGTTGAACTTCAAATTCAATATTTTCTTCTACAACTTCACAAATTTAAAACCCAAAGAAATTATTTTGTTTCAACTTCACATATTTTTTGAAGTTGTTTGCCACCTTGGGTTTCACATGGCATTATACAATAGGTTTTTGAATTTTGAATATATCATTCAGTCATTCTATTAATCTATCCTATTGTAGTAGTAGGCCAGCAGTTTTATAGAAGATAAGTGCAAATATGCTTTTTTGAATGGAAATGAATAATGAAATTAATTATATATTAGTTTATTATGCAACTTAAACAGAAATATATAATTAAATTTTATTTTAATACTTTCAATAAAATTGTATCTTGGCTTGAATGCACAATTCTACAAATCTAAAATGAACCTCTTTGAAAAATATCAAAGAAGTGGGAAAAATATTAACCATATCAAAATTAGCAGGTAAGAGGATTTTTAAGAAAAAAATTAAAAAGACCATGCTAATAAACACAAAATTTCAAATAAGTAAAAAATAATAATAATTTTCCTTTTGCTGCTTTTATGCTGTTTGTACAGTTAGAAGCGTTTTTTAAGATTTCAATTAATATCTCATGAAATTCTTATTTAATTTTTTAGTATATATATGAGGTTTTCCTCTCAAGTTTTTTAAAATCGAAATTTTTGTACAAGGGCTTATTTACTAAGTTTTAATTTTCCAATGTTTCTAACAATATTTCTTCATGTTGTTTTTAAATTCAATAATTGAAATTATATTAGGTGTTTCGAAAGATCATAGAACTTTTCTTAAATTTTATTCAGATCCAGAAAGTATTAAAAACAAATTTTTATAATACTTGACCATGATCACTCCTACACGTTGTTAATTCTTTGACTCTCATACTTATGAGAAACACAATCTAGGTTGTTTTTGAATCTATCAATATCTTAAATGTTAATTCTATATAAATTTTGTATTAACCTTGGTCAACAAACCTTGGTCAACAAACCTTGGTATAAAAGTTTAGTGACTAATGTTTTTCTTTGATTTGAATTACTCATTGCTTGTTCATATACTTATCAAATACTTCATAATATCCTTCACATTATTATTAATTTTGGATGAATTTAATTTTACTATTCATATAAATTAAATAAAGATCTAAAAAATGCTGTTTCCGATCCTGAAGTTATATTTTTAAAAGTTTAAATTTTTAATCAATTTGAATTTTTTTGCTACAGTCCTTTGTTAACATACTTACATTTATGTTCAAATCATTCTAATGTGTGGTTTTTTTATAGTTTTAAATTTTGATTGCATTAATTAGAATAAGTTTGAAATTTTTGCACCATCAAACGAATGAAACTTGGTCTTTCACAGATATCTTACTACTATTCAATTTTTTAATATTTTTTTTTTTCAGTGTGACAACTTTTGGGTACATATATGTTGTATAGATATGACACTGTGCAGTCTAGAGTTGGTTAATAAAGTCTAGTGTTGGAAATGCCACAATAATCAGCAAGTCATCTCACAAGTTTTTCATGTACTTGCTTATTTGCCTTTAAACAGATGTATATCCATGATTTCATACATACATATGGCAATGTTAAAAAATATTTTATGTAGCCACGTTTTATTGGTCTCACAAATGTAGATTGACATCTATCACAAACACAACCAAGTAGGGCTTTTTCAGCATAAACCATATTCTTGCATTTGCACTGCAAAAACCAATTCATTGTATTTGCAAATTGTCCACAAACCCATAAATCTTCTGACTGTGATGCATTTGTTGCCTGAATATGTGTAAATCTTTCTTGTAATTCCACTACCAAACATAATCCAAGCCACTACCTTAGTTTACATCTTTCCTTCATTTAAATTTATTTGTTGTTTAATATTTCTGTGCATTTTGATGTATTTATTTTTAAAACTTAATGATTTAAAATGTACTCATTTAGACCTTTTAAAAGTCTTAAGATAATTTTATAAAATTCCAAAATAACTTTATTCTAAATTTGATAAACATAGATTTCTTAGATTAGTTGTAGAAAGTATTTGTATTTTTCTAAAACTACCTTCAACAAAATTTCATTTACTTCAACATCCACTTACATTCTTTTTTACATGATGTCTTCTTACTTAAAATCTTGATGCATATGATCTGTTGACACAAGTTGAAAGAATGATGCAAATATAGTTAAAATTTTGTAACTATAATATAAGAAAATAACAACAATTAAATCTTAAAAACTTTATTCCAATTCAAGACATCACTCATTTCAATAAGTCATGATTTCACTTGAATGTGTGAGTTTACCCTTAAAACTTACATATATGTATTAGAATCTATTAAAATAATTTATTCAAGATCTTAGTTTAATTTACTAATAAAAATAATAATAATAATAATAATAAACCATAAATTTTTCAACAGACACTAAATGCTTAATGTACAAAAGATAATGTTTTTTATTTCTTTTAATTTTTAAATCTCTCTCAATAAGCAAATTCATGAACTTTTGAATAAAATTTAACATGAATTGGTTCTTGCTTAAGAATCTCAAATTATTCTCATTTTGTCTAAACTAATTTAAATTTAAAAATTATCACAAATTACTAAACGTGTATACATACACATTAATCTATATTGATCCAAAATTATACAAAAAATTCATATATTAACCACAAATGACCTACATTTTCTAATACATCATATGCTATATATTGTAACATTAATACAAAGCATTTTTGTTTAGGCATTGATCTTATATTAACTTCTAATTTATTCACAATTGGAAGAAAGAAAGAAAAAAAAACAAAACAAAACAAAAGCACATTCAATTCATAATTTTATGTTTCATTTATGAAGTATATCCAATCACAAGTTTTATTAAGAAACAAGTTTTTCATTTATATAGAGAATTGATATCTCTACCTAAAATTTTATTATTTCTACCCAACATTGTATTGTACCTACCACACTGTTCTAGTTGTTTTGTGACTTGTTGCATTTCAGCAGTAACTTTACTTGGGTGTTTTGAAGAAAAAAAATCTATGCTCTCTAGAGACCTCTGCCTAGTGAGTTGTAATTGGACCTTACTTTCAAAACAAATCCCACCTTGTTCGATCCCATTGCCTAAAAATGACAAAAGGTTGCTCCATTGGCATTGGAACATTAATCAAAGTAAAATTATCTTCAAATATGTCATAAAATCACAACAAAGATGTGGTGGGTGCAATATAATGCTGAGTGAAAATAATAAAATTCTATGAAAATATCAATTCTATATATATATATATATATATATATTCACATTCACATATACTTACAAACCAAACCAAGAAGTAAGATGTGAAACTCATGCATTGAGCACTGATTCAAGAGGTGTACAACTCATTTGTCTTCATGCACATCAACATCAGCACTCTCAGTCACCATAATTGGAGTGGAACTTGATGGTGC